TCCCATCATCACCATCATCATCATCACCATCATCATCATCGTCGACATCATCATCATCTATTTTTCTATTTTCGTACAACAAGCTGCGTCAAAATTATCGGTTGCTTCGACAAAAATGGGTCACGCACATCATCATCACTACCACCACCATCATTATCATTACCATCCCCATCATCATCACAGCCACCACCATCATCATCATGATCATCATGATCTTCATCGTCTCTTTGTACTTGATTTTAATCATCATCAGGACCGTCACAAAAACAACAACAACAGCAGCAGCAGTAATAATCACAACAACAGATAATAATAACAACAATCAATGAAACAACATTATTTTAAAATGTACTTTTACTATGAAACAAAAACAATAACAAAACAAAACAATACAATACAAAAAAGCATAAACAATAAAACAACAACGAAAAACAACAAAAAAACAACAAAAAACTGCAAAGTAGCAGCACAAACAACAATGAAACTAAAAAAGCAACAAAAAAACAGTAATATACTGGAAAAAAATATTTTTCAAAACTATATATAGATTGTACTCTAAGCAAAGTGAGCGTCATTATCTATAACAACAAAAAATAGCACCTAATAACAACAACAACTACTAATACTACTACTATTACTACTAGTACAACAGCAACAACAACAACAACAAATACTGCTACTACTACTACTACTACTACTACTACTACTACTACTACTACTACTACTACTACTACTACTACTACCAAACGCAAGACATGTTAAATGAAAGCGTTAATTTTTTTTCCACATGAATGCAATCAATTTGTACGGCAGCACATCGCATACTTAGAAAGATTTTGTACACATACGTACATATACATAAAAGTATACGTACGTACAAGCATAAAAACGCACACGCAAACATACATGCAAACTTACATGCTTGTAGCACACACACACACACACACACACACACACACACACACACACACACACACACACACACACACGTATGCATTCATATAGCGTTTGTATATATAGATAGTCTAGAGTTTTGAATGAATGTTTGAATGAATGTTTGAAATAATGAATGGATGAATGAACGAATGAATGAATGAATGAATGAATGAATGAATGAATGAATGAATGAATGAATGAATGAATGAATGAATGAATGAATGAATGAATGAATGAATGAATGAATGAATGAATGAATGAATGAATGAATGAACGAATGAATGAATGAACGAATGAATGAATGAATGAATGAATGAATGAATGAATAAATGAATGAATGAATGAATGAATGAATGAATGAATGAATGAATGAATGAATGAATGAAT